TCAAAAAAAAAAAAAAAAAAAGAAAAGAAATAAGGCTTTGTCTAAATGCGTGGAATGTTTTAAGATAAGGAAGTCTGTTAGAGGAAGACAAGCTACAATGTACCCACTCAAGTGATCTCTTAAGCAAATCGATGTTCTGCAGGTGTGATTAAACCTTTGCCTTGCGTGGCCTTAGGTCCTGTTAATAATTTAGTATCTCATTGTCACAAAGAGTTTGTTTTGTTAGTGTTATAATCTCTTTTAAAATTAATGTTGTTCAATTGTTGTATGTAAACTACAAAGGGAGGGGCTACAAGGAGGCCTGTCCCTTTCCTTCATGGCGCCGAACTCAGTTTTAAGGTTTTTCTGGGGTCCCCTTGGCCCAGGGGGGGGGGTCCATGCAGTCGTTGGGAGAGGATTTAGGATTTTATTTTAGTTTACAGATGGATCATTAGCATCTAATCCAAAAACCACAACCAATTTCATCGCTTAAGCCAGTCATGTCTCACTGCCCACCGCGTGTATTTTGAAGGCTGTCCGGTATGGACGTCCTCCCTTTCTTTCTGTTTGCGACAAGGTCTCACTCTGTCACCCAGACAGGACTGCAGTGGCAGCATCATAGCTCACCACAGCCTTGAACTCCTGGGCCCCAGCGATCCTCCCACCTCAGGCTCCCAAAGTGCTGGGATTACAGGCGAGAGCCACCGCACCTGGCCTCGACACAGTCTCTTCACAAAATAATATTCAAAAATATTTATAAGCATTTGACACAGCCAAATGAAATGAAAATTAACTCATTCAACAAGCAGCCCTGGAAGACTAGGGGACGGAGACATTCTCAGGTCTCCCACTGTGAGAGGGGAACCCTCGTTGCCGCCCCCTCCCACCATTAAGGGTCCAGGCACGGGAGGGAAAGGCCCACCGGAGGGTCCCGGGGGCGGTGCACGTCGGTCCTGCTCCTCCCCACCCGACTCCACGGTCAGATTCAGGCGAAGCCACGAACCGCCCCCGCTTCCCGCGCCCGCCTTGGTCCCAGCGGCAACGCACGCAGCGGCCGCCAGGGGGTGAGACACACGACGCCCAGAAGCTGGGCCCAAGGCCCCGGGCACGTCCCACCAAGGCGTGGCTTCCGACGAATGTTGCAGAAAACCAGGCCCAGCGCGCAGCTTTTGGTCGCCGTCCCCAAGCTGACTCCTCCGCCCGCGGCTGAGACCCGCGGCCGCTGCAGAGCAGTCGCGGAGGGTGCGGGTCTCCGGGCGCCCAGTGGTCCCGGCCCCCCTCCCGCCATGAACGGGAGCCCAGGGACCCCTGAAACCTGGAAATCACACCTGGCGGTGCGGGCTAGACTTGACGCCCGAATGCCCTGCACTCCGCGTCCCGACCGCCAGGGGTAGGGCCGAGGGTCCCCGCCGTCGGGTTGATACAGACGGACGTGTGGAAATGGGCTCGCTACGGCAGCGGGGACCCCGAGTCCGCCCTTCGCGTTCCCCCCATCGCTCCGCGGAGCCACTGTGGCTGCCAGGTGTCTGCCCCGAGGATGCAGGGCGGGGACCTGTCCCAACTCTGGGACTGGCACGGGAGCCCGGCAACGCCCATCGGGTTTCCCAGCCTCGCCCGCCCGGACGGGAGGCCAGGGGAGAGGAGGGGGAGAGGACATGGAGAGGGGCAGGGGACACAGGGACCGGGGATATGTAAACACCCTTTCCCGGCGGGCGTGTGGAGCCCCCAAGTGACCAGAAAAGTGGGGACTCATTTTTTCCTTTCGCAGATACGCTCATTCGGCGTCCATCAGCTCCACGGGGGAGGGGGGCCCCGGGCGTGCCGTCACCCCTCCCCGCCCCGAACCCCAGCAGGCCGGGCCCACTCACGTTCCCACCTGGCCTGCTTTGCAAGACAGTTGCAGCGACATGAGCCCTACCTAGACCCACCAACTCCCAGAACGCGACCCTCCTAAGGCCTTCCCTGACAGAAATGGTCCTAACCACATGCGGGTTCAAATCACATGCGAGTTCAAATCCCACCACGACAACGGATTCGCTGTGTGGCTCGCAGTCACTGTCTTCATCTCTCTGAACCCCACTTTTCTCATCTATTGCAAAAGGACATGGACACAGGAGCCCTACAGGATTAAACTTTATTTGTCCACAAGGCCCGAGCCGGCCCCCACGTGCCCTCAGAAGATCTTCAGCGACTCCAGCTGCACGTCTCCGCCCACCTCCACCAGGCGCACGCGCGCCAGCGGCATCCGGTGGCGGAAGTGGTGGAACGGAGCGTCCCCGACCACGGCCTGCGGGGCAAGGGGCGGGAGTTAGGGCTCTGGAGGGCTACGCTGCGTGGCCCCGGGGAAGTCACTTAACTCCAATGGGCCTCAGTTTCCCCATTGGGAATATGGGGCTGTTGATAATTATAACGTCTTTTCGCGAATTCAAATGAGTTTACTGTAAGTCGCTTAAGGTCTCTGTGGTGGACCCCTTCCCGCTAGGACGTGTTCCCGGGCGCTGCCTCCATCCCTCCCCCTGCGCAGAGACCTGTCCTCGGGCGTGAACGAACCGTGAGTACGGCCTGCGCCGGGCCTTCCGCGCGCACCGCCGCCCTAGGGTGCGCGGCTCTACCGCGCCTCCTCCAGTTGCGCAGGCGCGAGCGAAAAGGAGGTGGGGACGTCCCTGCCCCACCTCGCCCGCGCCTCCGCCCACCTCCCCGGCCTTG